GCGGGGGGCGGGGCTCTGGCTCCAAGGGGGTGCGCAGGGGGCGGGGCTCTGCCGCCGAGGAGGCATGTGGGGGCATGGCTATGGCTCCGAGGGGGGCGGGGCTCTGGCTCCGAGGGGGCGTGTGGGGAGCGGGGGGCGGGGCTCTGGCTCCGAGGGGGCGCCGGGCTGCCTCCCCAAGCCCCCAACGCCTGTGTCCCCGCAGGTTCGGCCGGAGGAAGGTGATCCTGCTGGGGTCGCTGCTGCTCAGCCTGCTGACCCTGGGGACGGCGCTCTCGCCAGGGTTCGAGTTCTTCATCGCCACGCGCTTCCTGGTGGGGCTCCTGTCACTGGGCATCTTCAACGTCACCTACACGCTGGGTGAGACGCCGCGGGGGCCGGGGCGCAGGGTCACGAGGGAAGTCCTTTCATGTGCCTCACATCACGCCAGCAGGGACCCCTCGTTGACATTCACCTCTGTGTGGGCACAGAACTCTGGGCTGTTACACTTTCTGGGGCAGCGAATGGGCTGTGAATGAGTGTCTCACAGCAGGATCTTTAACAGACAGAAGGCCCCAGCCGTGCGGTGGAACCGAAACCCTGGCTTCTTTCGAGAGACAGCTGGATGAGACCCTGGGATCAATTATCTATTAACTACCAACTACCTCATCTCGCTTGTAAGATTTTTATGTTCTTAGGGTGTTTCTTCAGCAGCGACAATCAGACAGGTGTGATCCTAGCTGCAGGACACTGTGAGTTTCTGTAGTCTTTCATCCGAAGTTAGGAAAACCACCTCTGAGAACACAGACGGAGAGATTAGTGCGATCACGGCCGTCAGAGGTGAGATGAGAAACAGGGGGCTTGGAGAGATCGTTCTCTGAGATGGCCTGGCCTTCCTTGTCCCTCCTCCTGCAGGGATGGAGTTCGTGGGCCCAACTCAGAAGCGCGTGCCTGGGGTGCTCCTGACCTTGTCCTTCATTCTGGGCCACGTGCTGCTGACGGGGCTGGCCTACTGGGTGAAGGGCTGGAGGATGATTCAGCTGACCGTCGCTCTGGTCTCCATGGCTTCTGTGCTGTGCTGCTGGTGCGTGTGGCTCCCTGGCCCCTGACTGCCTCTCTCCTTCCCTCCTGCTCGTCTAGTTCTAAGGCCTCTGAGCAACAGTCGGCCACTTGAAATGTATTGTGCTTCTCAAATCCACCTTCGCTTATCCCTCTCCTAGACGGCTTTACCTCTCTTTCCAGTCTGCCATCAGTCGATGGAAACTGAATCTGCTTAAAACAGCAGAAGACGGTGATGG